GGCCTGCATTAATTTGAGCTTCTCTAACGAGGGCGACGGACGTTACGGACTGGGTAGGACCTTGGAATAGGAGTGCCGTGGAGATGGTGTTTGTCGGGGATTTTTTGGTTTTTGCTCCTTTGGATGTACTTTTTGTTTAGGTGTACTGCAAAGATATTCTTAATAATTACTCTATGTGAAAGTTCCTGAAACTAATATTAATCAAGCTTAACAAAATAAGTTAAGTTTCCTTACTATGAGGTACAAACGTAATTGGAAATAAGTCTACTAAAAGAAAAGTAATTTGATAATCATTTTAAAAAGCAAGCCTGCAATCTAATTAGTTGGCCATGCTATTTGTAAATCTTTTTAACAATCAACAAAGAAAAAAATCCACATACAAACAAAACAAAATAAAAAGAAAATGACAACTACGCCGTAGCACCGTCTCTACGCCAGCCTACGCCTTCGTAGTCAAGCTGTGTCCGGCGTAGCAGTGTGCTACGCGTCCACCACGCTATGTTTATTGCAATCTGGCGGTTAAATGCCCGTCTGCTTAGTCCGCTTATACGGCCCTTTTGTTACACAGGATTGCAACCCCCGTATATTTTATGGTATTTCCTTTTAAAAAGCTTAAATTAAATGTTTATAGGGTATGCACGTCTGTTCTTTATTGTCTGCTAATGAGTGTAAGGAGTAATTAGTGTAAGTTTGATTAGAAAAAAACCTATCCTTAGATTGTGTATGTATCCTAATTGATGATAAAATTTTTGTTTTTATAACTATCGAGTGAAAAATCGCGGATTACTCACGTGAATATACTGAGAAAAGCGCTACTAATTTTAAGCCACAGAGGGGTTCTTCTTCATGTCGCGCAGCCTACTGGCTGTGGTCAGAGCTTTTCTCAGTATATTCACGTGGGTAACCCACGATGTTTACTTAAAAGGTTTTTGAACTGAAATATATCATGATTTTTCTCAGATTTACAGATTTTCTTGATTTTTATATTCCACTCCAGAACCAGTAACTAATTAATCGCCTTCCTAAACTAAAAACTCATATTCAAGACCATTTTCAATTCATTCAATTCATTTTCACCAATAAAAGACTGAGTGGTCGCAAGTGCGACTGCCGGGCAAGGGGTCTCGGGTTCGATTCCCGGGTCGGGCAAAGTATTATGGGGTTTTTTAAAAAAAATCTCAGTAGTAGCACGGAGTCTGGAATTGTACCCGGTATATGGCAATAGGCTCACCCCCTATTACATGGGACTAATAACATGAATAGTGAAAAGTGGGTGTTACTTCTGTGTTCACCTCTGCCTACCCCTTCGGGGATAAAAGGCGTGATGTTATGTTATGTTATGTTACACCAATAAAACTTGATGAACAAGATGTTCATTACTTAGCCTAACATAGCACAATACGATAGCCATAATGACCCTAGACTTATCAAAATCATCTTCATTATCAAAATAGGCTCTACTGGGTAAGTGACGTTGGCCAAACAATTGTGGCATTACGGGCTTACTCTCTCACTGACAGAGGAAAGTGAATTGATAAGAGGGATATGGTAAATGCTAATGAAATATGATTATTATTATCAGACACCTTTATTACTGTTAAGGTACCAAAGGAAATTATGTTGTTCGTAACTAGTTTTAACCGTTTGTGTGTCTAAAAAACGGATCCACGGGAGACACATTGTATTTTCTATTGAGCCGCATGTCGGTGTACTCAAGGTATATATAAATAAAACTTAAGAATCACGCTTAAATTTCAAAAATGTATAAATAAATGACAATGAAAACATTACTTATTCTATAAGTTTCCTAATAAACTTTATAATAAAACGTTTGTGTTTAAGACAAAAGTGAATACTTGTTAAGTCACAGCCCATTTCAATAACACCCAATATAAACAGCATGCTTGAAACGATTCAAAATTCAAAACCCCCTTTAGAATTTAATAAAACAATCGTCATAAATCATAATAAGCTAATCTAATCTGCGTGCTGGTCATCTGAAGGGGTTATTGAACTATCTCCCTGACCCTTGCCCTTGCATCCCTTTGTCCCGACTTAAATAAAAGGTTTGATTTTGTGTTGTAGGGTGCTTGATCAATATTTGCTGAGCGGACCGAAGGACCGACCGATCTGCATACCTTTTACAATGGTCCTTTGAGGTCCTTTCCAGTTTATGTTCCCTTTGTTTTCGGAAAAGTATCCAAATCATTAGCCGGGTTGGTTACTGTGGTTGCTGGTTTGATGTGTGTTTTTAACTTTTAGGCTATTTATATGGTGGAAATATGTTTGTTAGTTGGGTGTGAAATAGTGCTGAAATTATTATTTGTTTTATTTTAAGTTAGTTGAATATAGATTTACTTCGGTTGATTAATTTAAAACAAGATAAATTAAAACATACTTCATTCACTAGCTACTATCACTAGTTAAAGATAAACAGCAATAGGGTAGATGCCTAATTTTTATATGTCCGTCTGGTAGATTATTTCAAATCATTAGACACCTATTTTTATTTTCTTACAGAAACGAATACTTTCGTCGATATATTAATTTTAAATGTCGCATGACGTCGCTTCTATGTTCATTTTATACGTAGAAATCACGTTTTAGCCCCCACTCCTAAACTTTGATTCGTTTTATCGAAATATTATTTTATTATACGACAAAAAAAACACGGGTCTAATATGTTTTACGGACTAATTAGATCTTTAATTTTCATACCCTGTCATCATCCCAATTGCATAGAATTATTCTAAAGCAATTCATTTTCTTCAACTTTAAAGTGCTTTGGAATTTGAAACAAAAAATTTACTAGTGTGAAGAAATGAGTAGAACTACTAAAGTTTAAAATATTTTATAAGTTACCGTAACATCTTTCTTTATACAAATTAATACATATTTTTTGTTAATTATTCCTCTAACAAACATAGTTAAGAAGCACAGCACTGCTTGCGAAAATGACAGCTGCAGCAAGCAGCTTTAATGGCTGTCCTAAGGTCCACACATTGAGGCTCCCACGCATATCACCGTCACCTTTATACCACCGCAATAAAGTTCATTTTCGTATAAATAGGGGATGCTAGGGACTCGAACTGAACCATCAATGGATTGTTGTAGAGAATTTATTGTGTGAGCACACGTTCGGGAGCTTGTAACGGGGTGTATTGCAATCTATTTGTTACTAGAAGGACTTAGAATATAATATTGTGTTTGTGCATAGTTATTGGGATGCGATAATGACTTGGAGAAAAATTCGGTTAGTTTCAAAAACAATCTGAAGTAAGTTAATGGCTGAAATAAGTTTTAATTTGTTTGTGATTTTTAAATGTTCTCTATGCAAACTTAAAATAATTCATTTGATAGCATTTAAGAATTAAAATAAAGAACCAAAACTATTAGTTCAAAAATAACTGCTACAAAATTGCTACGACAGGCTATGAAATAATTCTAAGGATATTTTGTATGTGCACCTTATTTAAACTTTCGCATTGTCTTCAAGATAAAATGAACTTGACATGACATTCACGTTGATTGTGAAAGCTCACACAATACAGTGTAATAATCTATCGCCTAATTTGCATTCATACGAGCATCATAAAAGCAATCTGTCTCCCTTGGCACACGTTGGCTATAAATTCGTTAATACAGTGGCACATAAGGTGGATACCTCTTAGACGTAGGTAAGCAGATTGTGACGAGTCCGAGCCACCTCTAACAGGCTTCGTTAACTCGATCTACTGCACCCCCGTCCCAACTCATTATGCCAACACTGTACGACGTAAAATCACTATAGTTACCTCACTTTAATTATAGAGCAGTGCAGGTTGTGTCTAACTATTTCGGGGAGTATTTGACTTAATTTAATGAAAAATATTAGATTTATTTTCTTCGGAAAACTAGACTTTCTTTAACTTTATTTAAAATATACAAATTTATCTTGTATAAAGTCACTCTAAACTCAATTTAGACACAAATGTATTTCAGTGGTTTATTCACTTCGCGTTATTGTCATTCTGGCCAGAACTGCACGTCTGTGGTGACGGTGCTTGCAGTCGTGGTGGTTGTTCGTGGGCCTGGTGTCGACCGGCTGCCGGCAGATCGGCTGCTAAATGCCGCAAGAGGCGTGCGCCATCCCGCTTGCACCGCCGCGTTCGCCGCATCTCTCGCTCGCGCCGGCGCGAACACGTGTTTATTTGTATGTTTTATCCTTCGGCGGCTTTAAACCCAACCCACCCTGACCGCAAAGTGCGCTCCGCCGCCCGCCGCGCCCGCGCGCCGTCGCCGCCTCTCGCTCGCCGCCGCCGCTGCCGCCGAGCCGCACCGACTCACCCGCGAAACTTTGTCCGAAGTCGACGGGCGCGGACGTACGCCGCGTATTAATAGCCACCGCGAGTGGTCACCGCAACCGAGCGCTGCGAGCCCCACGCGCCACGAGTCGCACCACGACCGCGCGCCACGTCGCACGCGTCCCGCGCCACGCACCCCATACGCGTAAACACGACAACGAAGTAGCGTGCGCGAAAGCGAAACTCAAAACAAAACTACAAAAAAATTAAAAAACTTCGTCGTCAACGGTGAAAGTGAGAGGGACGTGCGTGCGGCGATCGCGTAAATACGCGGTGCGCAAAAAGTGCCGCCGTCAGTGAAACTAGTGAAAAGTTTTTTCGCCGCGTACGGGGGACCACCCCTCAGCGCCGGAAAAAATCGGCCCCTCGCGTCCCTCGCCCGCCCGCCGCCGAACTTTTCATTCACCGGGGAAAAAAGTGTGGCAAGGCCGCCGTGACGTCACCGCGTCAAGTAGCCACGCGCTCGTTCCCTAGCAACGTGTTGTCACGTCTCATCATCGTCCCTTCTTGTCAAACTTAAGACAGTCTAAGTGCGGTCGACTTCTTGGCCTAGTGTGTGACTATGTCGCCAGTGTGTGACGATGGTGTTCGGTGGGTGTGAGCGTCGGTGACGGGTGTAGTAGTGTCATGTAGCAGTGGCTGGAGGCAGTAGACTCTATGTGTAGCACGCAGCGCGCGCGGGTGTCGAGGATGCACCTGACGGGCGCCAGCAGCGGCGCGGTGTCGCCTGACACCAGCTCCACGCTGCTGCACGAGACCTACACGAAGATGACATCCGATATCCTCGCGGAACGAACACTTGGCGACTTCTTATCTGAACATCCAGGGGAGTTGGTGCGAACGGGCAGCCCTCACTTCGTGTGTACTGTGTTACCTCCTCATTGGCGATCAAACAAAACTCTGCCCGTGGCGTTCAAAGTGGTTGCTCTAGGTGACGTGGGGGACGGAACGCTGGTGACGGTCAGAGCTGGTAACGACGAGAACTGCTGCGCTGAACTGAGGAACAGTTCGGCAGTGATGAAGAACCAGGTCGCCAAGTTCAACGATTTGAGATTCGTCGGCCGCAGCGGTCGCGGTGAGTGCTGAAGGTGCAGTTATGTGATACAATGAATATTAGTGATTTCATAATATAGCCCTAAATACAAGCGAAAACTGAAGCATGTCTAAAACTTTACAGCAACTCAAATCAATGGTTAAAAGTTAGTGAATAAAACTACAATCGGTAAAGTACAATTAAAACCTGCTTTAAAACAAAATCACGGTGAAAAATCGCGACGGCTTTCCCGAAGAACTAAAGGTAAAACAAGCAAAAAGTAGATGACGTGAAACGATTGAAACAGCGAACAAATTCCAAGTGATTACAAAGTCCAACAAGTAGCTTCACACAGTAATAACGCTTAAATATTTTGTCAAACTTCTTAAGTAGGGAGCAGTCGGTGACATTGCAAAGTGTTCCAAACTTTTTCCTTGCAACTTAAGGAAATGAGAATGTCAAATAAGGAGGGCGGGAGACTTGGGCGGCTATTTCCGCCCAATGAGTATCCCGCCGCCCTTTCTAAGAAAGTTTACTTTTTGTGAAGGGCAGAGAGTTTTACTCAAAGTTACTCGAGGACAACGACTTTTGAAAAATTCACGTACATACTTACGTACGTACGCTAAAAGTTTACTTTTGTGATTATCCTAATTTGTAGTAACAGTGATTCAAATTATTTTGTTAAAGCCAGTTTATAATGTTTAGCGTTCAATTCTAATTGATACAAAAGCTATAAAGTTGAGTTTAAACCGAGCACAAATAAACAAACCGATAGCCTATTCATTTCCCGGCGGCGTTTATTATTACAACTATTTTATTACGTTTCATAAATTAAAATGAAAGCGCTTTATCTAATGCTCTAATCAAAATTGATATTTAGTTTTGGTTTAGTACAATAGTAGAATGAATCGTAATATTTGTAATAGTTCCAATACTCTTGATTTTTTAGATGATCAGTCCCTGACAGCATGGAATTTGAGATCCCAATCCCTATAGGGATGAACCTAGTGTAATGATAAACCTACTGACTCGTGTAATAACTTAAGATGGATAATGCAATATGCAAATTATTAATTGCTCTATTGCAAGCCACTTTGAAAAACATTATGACTATTTAAAATAACATCCATGTCTGAACAATTTTATTACCATACAATGTCAACAAGTGTTCCCTTTTGGAATCTGGTGTCTACACACTAAGTAGCCTAAAGTAAAATAGTTGATAAATATTCTTTTTTCAAAATCGGGAAGAAATTTTATTCGACAATTTTAAATCCGGTCTTCGGTAGTCGGGTCTTCGTATCTTACACAGAATTTAAATATAGCAATGGCTTTTAATACTCTAAGGAGTTGTCAAAGGTGCACTTCTTTATATGTTTCTGTGGGTGCACATGTATAATGTAGCATCCCGCAGTCATCATGTCAGTCATGTCACTTAATAAGGGTCGTCGTATGGTCGTCCAGTAAGTACAATCAGACTCCGTGCTGCTATTAAAAATAATTGAAAAATCTAAAACTTACATTGCATGAATTCGATAATCTGTAGGTACTGAAAATTTTAGAAATTATTTCTTATGATGTTGGTTGTACAGAGGTCTATTACTGAAAAATATTCAAAGAATGAAAACAAACAAACAAAATATTTACTCTAGCTTACATAAATATAATCGTCCCTTGACCCTTTGAAATGCTCAGTGTTTATTCAACCGTTTTCAAACTAATCCAGGGCTCTAACTGATCGACTGTTTGCTGAAGGCTAAAGGACTATATATTTTCTTAATTACTTCTGGTGTAGATTCATTGTTTTTAGGATCCTATTTATTGAATAATTTTAGTAACAGACTTGCTCTTATATAGTAAATGACATAACCGGTGAATTGTGTTTCAGAATTTATAGATGTGTTGTTTTATATATGTATATCTATATAGAGAAACAACCAATAAACTATATACTTATATCTCGATGATTTTGAAGGTTGCAATGCAGAAAATGGAAAAAAATATATAAGTGCTACCTCTCGCAAAACCCTTATAGCTCCCAAACTGCATCCACCTTCATAAAATATAATAAACAAGGTTTTCATATAAACGATGCTGCATTAAATTGGTTAATTCGTTCAGTGAAAAAATTAAGCGATTTTGGTATGTGGTACCGTAGCTCCTGAGTTACGTGCCACAAACAGACACATACACAGACAGACCCTCTATTTACAGGGGGCTACTAAAACAACGATACATCTAACTATAGTGATGACTATAACTACTCCATAATGTAAAATTCGTTTTAAGATGCCTAAGACATTTAAAATTTCAATATGAAGTGAATGGAAGAACCACTTTAGCGTTTTCTGTATAATAAATAAATTAAATACAAAAAAAAACGTGGTTAATCATAATTTCCTCATGTTACATTTAATGAATTACACTTGAGTATGCATCTACAGGGATTTAAAGACGACATGTTTATATTATGTTAATCATAATAGTTACCTATCCGAGTTATTTTAAATTTACAAGACAAAACATTTAAGAATAATGATAATACATGAGAAATTATTATGGCATAGTTATGATAGCAAAAACTTTCGCTGATTAAAAAATCACATAACATCACTCCTTTACATTCTTTGTGAACATATACATTACACAATACTATACAACAAAAACAATACTGTTACACTGAAGATATAACCGAAATTATAAACCTACTAGTAACATATCCTATATAATGTTCTAGTTTCCAAACATATTGCAAGAAAACTAACAATAAAAAATACTGCCCAATTGGTGCGGTGGCTGGGTAACTGGCTGCCGTAGAACGTGTCGCGGGTTCGAATTTCCCACGGAACAACTCTTTGCGTGATCCACAGATTGTTGTTCCGGGTCTGGCTGTCATGTGAATGTGAACTTGTATCTTTGTAAACGCACCCACGACACAGGAGAAAATGCTAGTGTGGGGCTACTTTATTTAAAAGAAAAAAAAATCATTATCAACTCAAATACTGAACCATAAATACAACATCAAATACGTGGAGTGATTTCCCTTAGCACAATTTTATAATATGTATAATAATATTCCCTATTTGTACTCAAATTCAATGCAGATTACCGCGTACGAATTTACCAATTCAAGGGAACCAGTGTGATAAGATTTGTTTCCAAAAGCGAATTTGCTAGTCTCAAACCATTGAACATTTAATTATTGACAGCTACAGTGATGGGATTTATAAACAAGACTCCATGTCATATTAGCAGAATCTGGTGAATGATAATGTAGTCGCTCGTCATATGATATTCACTCCGTTGATTACTATGCAGTGCGGCGCCGGCGCCGTAAACCAAAAGGCGTAAAAGTTCTTAAATCTCGGAACCTAGGACCAGTCAATGAATCTTCATATTGAAGATTAACTTTTGTAATTCCGATTAACATTTTTAGGCTATTTTAAAGTTATTGAAAAGTTAATCAGTAAACATTTATATAGGTACGAAAAATTGTATTTGATTGTTTGCATATTTATATCTCAAAGTATGGGATATAATTTGCCGTGCTGTGGCTGGGCAAGGTTCAGGCATCGCTTTGTTTGATCCACAAATTGTTGTTCCGGATCTGGGTGTCATGTGAATGTAAACTTGTATGTTTGTAAGCGCACCCACGATACAGGAGAAATTTCTAATATGTAGCAATGTTTAAAAACAAAATGAAATACTAAGTCTAGTCTACAAACGATTGTCGCGGAGAACCTAACGGGTAACCGGGGCTCCGGCTCGACGTGCAGGAGAAGGAACGGGGTGGTTTTTAGTCAGTAAGAGTCTGACACTCCCTTCCGCCTCACCCAGGCGGGAGCAGTCATTCGATGATTTTCCCCCCTTAAAAAAAAAAGTCTACAAACGATAATAACTTGGTAAAACGATCTGCTCGAAAAACGAACTCACCAAATATTCAGATGGCTACCACTTCATAATCATTATCGCTTTATTTACATTGCATCAAGATGTGACCGGTAACGGAGAAACAAAGACAATATCTTAGCAACCAGATCACCCCTATTTCAATTCACAGATGCCAACTAACACTACCCTTTAAAATGACATGAGCGCGTAACAAGGAGGGTTAATTGGAATAATTGGGTCACCGTTAGCATTTCTCAGTTTCATCATTCGTATGTAGTTTTTGAATAATCTTATTCTGCTATTACGCTATCCTGTAGGAATTTTGAACCTTGCTATCCTACTATTGAACAATATCCTATTTTACATTAAAAATTAAAAAAAAAGTACCCGTGTATAGTATATGGGGTTACTGAAAAAACATTAATGCTAAGTGTGGGAGAGCTTTGGTTCGGCACGAATGGGCCACATCCACCAAAGTGATACTACAGCTTCACAGATAGCCAACGTGAAGGAACAACAACAATAATATCAACAGCCTATAAGTGGCCTCTTCTCGCACGGAGAAGGTTTGAGCATTAATCATCACACTTGCTCCAATATGGGTTGGTTGTCAAACTTATAATTAGAAATTATACTTAGGCCCGGGTTTTCTCTCAATGTTTTTCTTTATCGTATATCAATAGTGTCTAGATAATCTTATATAGAAAGTACATATAACTCGGAAAAGTCACATTGGTTCTTGCCGTTGGTAGGTTTCGAACCTGCACTCTCATGCATGAGAAGCGGGCATCGTAAACCTCTGGGCCACTGAAGGACACGTGAAGGAAAGCTTTGATTATATATTATTGCATCATGTGAGTGAAATTACCTGAAGACAAATCTCTCCCAGCTCTAAAACCTAGTTCCAAAAGGTTGGCAATGATCTTGTTACTCCTCTGTTGTTGCGCGTGCGCGTATCCGTGGGCAATGAAAGCGCCGATCCAATAGGTACAAACACTTACCATTCTAATATCTAGCTATACTATCTTCCTTTAAAATTTACTTTTACAAAGTTTGAGAGGACGTATTTAATTATGACATTTATGTAGCTACTATAGCTTCTGTCAGCGGCTTCGCCCGCATTTTTGTGGGATAAAACGAGCATGTGTGTT